TTATAAAAGTAGGGAGGGCGTGTGCATTTGTCAAAGCCTATGTGTGGATGTCAGGGGACAACTCTGTGAGGTCATTTCTTTCCCTTCACCTTTACATGTGTTCTGGATACTGAACTCAGGTTGCCAAGTTTGTCCAACAAGCACCTTTACCCACTGAGCCATCTCTCACTGGCCCTATTTATGCTTTTTTACATCTCTACTAAACAGTTGATAAAACTGTTTCTAGAGGAGAGGAGGAGGAGAAAGAGGAAGCAGCAGCAGATAGTTGGGCACAATGGTTTATGCTTTTAATCCCAGCATTCTGGAGGCTGAGACAGTTCAAGGCCAGCCTTGGTCACATATCCAATTCCAGGCTAGCATGAGCTACATACTAATATCTTGCTCTAAAAGCAAAACAAAGCAAATGGACAAAAAGCTTTAAAAAACAAATGCCTTAAACCAGGTGTGATGTCCAATAATCTTGGGCCTGTAATCCCAGCACCCCAGGAAGCTGAAAGAGGAGTACCCAGAGAATGTGAGGCCAACCTGAGCTACAGAATGAGACTATTTCAAAACCCAAACATCCAATGGAACAAACAAAAACCAAACAAATTCTTACAAAGGACACCAACATCTAGATTAAAAGCACACAGACACCCTTCTGAGTATTTTTAAGGTGTATGCACATATTTTACATTAGGAAGATACACGAATCAAATTCTCTTCATTGTTGGGGGGCTGGGCAGAGGAAGAACATTAAAAAAACCCAACAAACCAATGCTGAATCATGAATAAAAAAAACAGATAAGGCAAAGAACTCAAAAAAGTCATTCATGGCACACCTCAAACTTTCTAATTGGGGCATCTGGTCTTGGTAAACTTTTAAAACTAAGCTAACTGAAGAGCAAAAGTACCTAGACTAGTCTCCAGACACTCGATGGCAGCATAAGACTAGAGCATTTCTCTGCCTGTTACTACACTTCTCACTTCCTGCTTTCTTTAGGCAGCTCATTCTGACCATTTCAGGTAACAACGCAGAAGTGAAAAAACCAACTTCCTCTTTAAAAGTGATAAGAGTTTTGGCAGCTGGTTTAAAAGTGATTTTACTTGCTTTTTAAAGAAAATCAGAGACCCAAAATGCCAAAGTTATGGAAAGCTTTACTGCTTTCAGAAAACATAACAAAAATAAAAGTATTTCTTTTGGCACCACAACAGACATAGTTAAAACAAAGAGAACAACAAAACACTACCCATTCCAAATAAAAGGCACTTGAAGTCTTCAACAAGAAAGAAGAAAATGGAAATCCTAGATTTTCTTAGAGAAGGGACTGGTCCTAGGGGCTCTGCAGGTGCCGGGGCAAATGCTCACCACTGACCTCTATATTCAGCCCATCTCCCATCCCTTTTTCTTCTTTTCACTTCATTTTTGAGACAGTCTCATCAAGTTTTCAAAGTTGTACTTCAACTTGCTTTGTAGCCTGAACAGACCTTAAATTATTCTATCCTCTTGCCTCAGCTTCTGAAGCAGTCGGGTTAGAGGTCTAAGCCACAAGGCCAAGGACGATTAAGAATATCTTTTATCTTGACTTTAAAATTAGTCTGTACCTCTGTGCATGGCGGTTCATGACTCTAAGCTTAACACCGAGGATCCCAAGACAGAGGATCACCGTAAGTTTAAAGCCTGGGCCGTAAGTGAGTTCCAGATTAGCATGGGCTACAGAATCTGGACCGTTTTAAGAAAAAAAAAATCTAAGTAAACAAACTGATAATTAATGCAAAAATTTCTGCAAGAGTACTTGCTTATGAATTCCAAGGCATTCAAATCAGTAAATATCTTGGAAAAAAATCTTTTCTCAAAATGCACCCCCCCCTTTTTGTAAAAGGCTCTCATTCATATAGGCTGGTCTTAAACTCCCTGTTACCAAGGATAAACCTGTATTCCTAATCCTCAAGAGCTGGGATTGTTACAGACAGACACCATCGGACCCAGCCTTTCTCCCTACCTTTTCTCAATTTTTGAATTCAGATAAAATCAATCTGAAGGTTATAAGAAGCAGACCAAGGTAAGAAGCCCCCAGACCAGGAAGTCTTCCAAAGCCCTTTCTTTCTGCCATAGATTTCAAGAGGGATGACTGTGTCTGTCTGGAGAAAGGAATCTAATAGAACTCCAGGAATTTCAAGTCTTAAGGGGCTCTCTACACAGTCCTAGAACTCACAGGTAGAGGAAGGTGGCCTTGAACTTGCCTTCCTCTGCCTCGCGCGTGTTGAGATTAAAGGTGTGCACCACCATGCCTGGCTCAAACCATAAGAATTTTTACTGTATCATTACGCTTCATTATCTACACCAATAAATGTAGTTAATTAGAAAAAAAAAGAACTCTATTAAACCCAGCATTGTGGGGGTTTGGCTAGAATCCCAGCACATGGAAGGCAGAAGCCAGAAGACAAATTGGAGCCCACTCCAATCTACACAGCAAGTTTCAGACCATCTAGGGTTACATAGCAAGACTCTGTCCTAAAAATACAAAACAAAAAACAAGTTCTTTACTAAAACAGGAATAAAATTCATGGTTACTTCTGGGGTGGATTTACTAACTATGACTTGGTTTTTCTATCGTTATTAAAGTAAACACCAAATCTACATGTGATGCCTATGCCTATAAGAGCAGCAGAGCAGTACTTAAGAGGTGGAGATAAGCGGTGAGGGATGGGGGTCATCCTTCGCTATATAGTGAGTTGGAGGCTTACATAAGCCACACAAGACCCAGCCTTAAGAAACAGAATAAAATTTCACTCTAGCATGATGTTGTATGAACCCGAAGTCCTTGCCTTAGAATAAACATTTGTTATAGTTTTCGTTCCACTGTTAATTGAGATATGTCTTTCTGTTTCCTAAGTCTTTAACATTTATGATGCTCAATCTCCAAATAAGAGAAAACAGCGCTCATGTGTTATTTGTTGGCTTTTTATTTTTTGTAATGCTGATGCTGAAGTTCAAACACAGGACACTGCATGTGTTACGCGTTCTACCAACAAACTGCCACCCTCAACCCTGTGAAGAGGTTTGTAAAGGTGTTATGCACCTTTTTCAGCGTTTAAAAATACATACAGAGATATATATCAAATTATTCTTTACGGAGAAATGACTAAAGAGAGTACGTTCCCCTCAACAATCGCCAATATTTTCACTACTATAAGAACCCAGGCAGATTTTATAGAACACTGGAGGGTACACACTTTGTAACAGTCGTTGCAGGAAACAAAAGACAGATTCTTGTCCCATAAGGAGTTATCTAGTGAGACCATTCTAACTTCTACCAACCCTGAAGTGCTGTGCTTACTGAAGAGCCCCACGCTTCTTTCTTTTTCCGACAAGCTGTTTAGTAAACGTATGCTGTTGTCAGAAAAAGTTATTCCATGTAACTTATAAGGCATCCTTGTATTTAAGCCACCTCTAAAGACCTGAGTACACAAACTGTATTCTGGCAAACCTAGCCAGCAGACACCACACACAGTAGGTCATCAAAAAGGCTGGGTATTGGGCCGGGCGGTGGTAGTGCACGCCTTTGATCCCAGCACTCGGGAGGCAGAGGCAGGTGGATCTCTGTGAGTTCGAGGCCAATTTGTCTACAAGAGCTAGTTCCAGGAAAGGCTCCAAAGCTACAGAAAAACTCTTGTCTCGAAACCTTCCTCTCTCCCCCCGCCAAAAAAAAAGGGCTGGGTATTTCACTTAACCTGGACATGTTAATGTAAGGTTTATTTACTACCAAACTTTTCTGGAGTTGGAAAAAAGTCTGCTAGCTATTCCTCACTGTTTAACAGGAAGCCAAAAACTAGTCTGAAAAAAAATTATAGTTAAGACTAAGAGAGAAGGGATGGAGTCACCTTGGGGACATACATGCACACAAGAAGGCACATCATCAGCAGGCACAGAAGTGCTCGTCAAACTCTTAAGCAAATGTTCCGAGCTTTACAGATTTATTTTTATCGAATTAATTCAATCGTCACTAGCCGAGAAAAGACCAGGGTGTGTAGTTAGGTGGATAGACAACACCAGAGAACGTCTCCCTGTCAAGGAGTCGTGACAGCAAAATCACTTCCTGAGGAAGGAGGAGCAAAAGGGAAGTTAAGGAGGCTACTCTGATCAGGAAGTGACTCGTCCCAAACTAACCCCAATCATACCTATAAATGGGGGGGATGGGGTGAGCCCCAACAGCCAAAGGCGGCAAAATAACTGGTGTATGACACATCCCAACATCACCTTCTCTTCCTCTCTTACGATTACAAAAAGGGTCTACAGATAAAAGTCAATCAGCTGAAGTTGTCTCCTCTTTCTAGAGGAAGGCTGTGCTCGGTCCGGAATGAAAAGAAGAGTTGAGGAATGGGGAACTGGGGCCACCGAGAGGCAAAGGAAAGCCCCTTGAAGGAAGAAAGCGTCCCGGGTGCAGAGGGAGTATGCCAGCACCGGGAAACGACTTTCTTTTTCCTGCGGATACCGTCAGGCTTTCCACTGCTGCCTGCTTGGACCCCTGCGCCCCGTCGGGGGAGGAGGTAAAAGAGAGAGGCGGACCCCTTACCTTCTCCTCATCCGACACCCGATCCTCGAAGTCGGCCATCTTGGCTGCTCTGGCCCAGCCCGGCGACCGGCGCGAGGCAGGCCGGGAAGGAAGCTGAGTGGTGGAATCACCAAGGGGGCCGTCGGAAGGACCCGCCCGGAAGCTCCGGCCAAGAGGGCGCCATGTCAGTTCCGCGCGGGCGTGACAGCCCGGAGTGGGTACTCTCTGGGAAGCCGGCGTTGCCCTCAAGGCCTTGGAGTCTGAACTTCTTTCTCACTGAGTTTCAGTCCTTTGCCCATTCATCCTGGAAGCTCGGTGGCGTGTCTCGACTGGCCATGGCGCCTGGGCTCCCTCTGGTCAAGTAGCAATGGCTACACCTCTGAGTTTTCCGGGTCCCGATGGTCTCCGAGGCCGCCGAGTCCAGCGCGCTAAGAGCTGCTCGGTTCTAGGAAACACCAGTACTTTTCCAGCCCCGCAGCGGGGCGAAAGGTGACCCTCAACCTCGCATGGAACCCAAAGCACATCCCTCCCGCGCCACATTGAGTCCGCTTCCTGCAGAATCAGTGCCGCCATCGGCTCCGCCCTCCTAGGGGACTAGGCAGCCCCTCAGTCTGAGGACGCGCTCCGTCTCCTTCCAGATCTCGGTCCCGTTCCCCAGGACTCAGCCTTGACAGAGGCCGGCTTCCAGTCCGCCACTATCCCAGGATTCCCAACTCCGGTTTCCTGCCCTTCTCCCCTCCCAGGTCCCGGCGCCTGCCGGAGCCGCAAGATGGCGGACGGGGAATGCTTCGCGGAAGCCGCGCGGGCTGTGGGGTGTCCCCATGCACCTGCTCCCGGCTTGGGCCTGGGCCCGCCGCTGGGCTGGAAAGAGCGGCTGAAGGCCGGGCTGGCGAACTCGGGCTCCACGCTGTGGTTCCTGGCGGGGCTGGGGCTGCTTTACGCTCTGAGGGTCCCGCTGAGGCTGTGTGACAACGTGACAGCGGGTGAGAGGCCCCAAACCTCCTGGACGGTCGGGGACAAGCACCAAAGAGCTGAGATTCTCGGGGAGTCATTGAGGGCTTTGGAGAAGGAATCGGTGTTGCATGCTCCAGTGGGTTATTATTATTTTTATTATTTTCCTCTCGGGCCACACCAACCGGGCAGCTGATTGTCAAACCTGCGTTGCAGTTTGCCGGCCCCTCCCTAGAGTGCTGAAGGCTCGCCCTCTCTATTATCGCAGGAAAAGCTACCTGACAAGCTGCAAAGCTTCAGGTAGTAAGCCAGAAGAGAGCGTTCCCAGACACGGACACACAGTTTATATACATTCTTAGCATTTGCAGGGCCCCTTTAAAATCGTGCCTTTGAGTCTCCAGCTGCCAAACTTAGAGAAAGAACCCACACCCAGAAAATCAACATATCTGTAATGCAAGATAGAAAGTACTACGATTTTAATGGACCATACTTTTATTGTAAGAGGGTTCTGTTAAGAAACGTTTTTCGTGATATTTTTTAGCCTTCAGACTATCATGAATAATAAAATAGTACAGGAAAGGGAGAGGGAAGAGAAGCGCAAACAGTGGATTTGTTTAATATGTTCTTTCAGCATTTGTACAATGTTTAGTATGTAGCCTGGGCTAAAGGTAAAGACTCTTAAGCAGTGTTGATCCATGCAGATTCTGCAGATGCTATTCCTTAGCCATAAGCAGGATGAAGCATGGGGTCCTGGGCCTTTTGTGGTGTTATTGCAGTATTTCTGCAGCCTCGGAAGAAGATCAAGTATTTCTGTTAGATGGTGACGCTTATTAATTTTTCTGTCCTGTGAGAAGGCACTGGTTTCCCTTTTCTACTCCATGAGATGACATGAAACACTGTGGGATAATGTCTTGAAATGCTTTGAATATTTTAGAGGATGTCTAATTTGAGACCAGCCTGGGTTATATTAGACCACTTTTTAAATGTATGCTTAACTTTTTATCCTTATATATTTACTAAAGATCTAGTGTAAATTTTTCTGACTTGTGTTTTGGAGTTTTAGAAAAGCAGGCTAAGTTAATCTCATTTTTGACTTTTGATTTTCTTTTTTGTTGTTGTTGAGCTTTGTTTTTAAAGACAGGGTTTCTCCGTGTTACCCTAACTGCCCTGCAGCTCACTCTGTATCCCAGGCTGGCTTTGAACTCACAAAGATCCGGGATTAAAGGAGTGTACCACCACCTGACTTTTTTTCTTTTTTTGACTGCAGAGACTGATCCTAGGGTTTATATGCTAAGCCTCATTTTGATTTACTTTCTTATTTAACTAAATAGCAGTGTGTAATCCCACTTTTATATACATGCGGAGATTCTTTGTTTGTCTTTGTTTTTCGAGACAGGGTTTATCTGTGTAGCTTTGAAGTCTATCCTGGGACTCGCTTTGTAGACCTCTGGCCTTGAACTCACAGAGATCCGCAGTCTCCGTCTCCAGAGTGCTGGGATTAAAGGCTTGTGCCACAATGGGGATTTAAAATCACTTTTAAAAAAATGTGTGCCATTTGTTTTTCTAACTTTTTCAAATGAATTTCACTTTAGCTATTAATATGGACAGTTATTGACTTAGGCTGGTCAGCTTAGAAATTTTGAGCTTTGCAGTAGTGGAAAAGCTGGATGCATTTAGTAGAAATTTTGAATTTTTGTCTTTTCCCGACCTAGCAACATAATCTCTGATGCTGGGCAGCGGCAGGAAGCCTCTGTTCCCACTCACCATTCATACAATGTGGAGAGTAAACAACCAATGCTGTCCAAGGTATTATGTTGCTATGCTATGGCGTTTGGAAGATTAGAGCTGTAACCTACATTTTTTACTTGCAGTATTTTCAGTTTATTGACTTATTTGGACATAGCCGTATCAAAGTCAGGTCTCTGTGCTGCTCGCCTCCCTCCATCTAAAGATGCTTGCATAACTATGATGTACTTTAAAGTGGACTTTGTAAAAACTCTGCTGTTTTCTCTTCTAACAGTGACAGGGTTTTTAAGTTCCTTGACACCCAAGTTCTATGTGGCACTTACAGGGACATCTTCTTTGATATCTGGACTAATATTTGTAAGTAGATTTCATTTTCTTCATTTCTGTTTTGATCCTCACTTAAAGATTGTTTATGTTTTTACGAATTTATAAGTATTTGTCAGGATTTCCAAAATGTGTTTGATATTTGGAAAAAGTTGCCTAGAGAAACAAGTTTGGGAGGTACCACATTGCCCTTTCTTCTTTTATGAGTGTGGTAGAATTAATTATATATTAGATTTCTTTTTGAGACAGGGTCTCATTATGCAGCCTAAGCTGGTCTGGAACCCAGGGTGGGTCTCCTGCCTCTATCTCCTGAGGGCTGAGATTACAGGGGTGAGTTACCATGCCCAACTTCATTCATTGTGTATTAAAAATTTGTATACAGGGATGGCAGATGACTTAACAGGAAAAGGTGCTTGCTGCCAAGTCTGTCTGACATGCTGAGTTGTCCTTTGATCTCCACTCATGTGTGTTTGCATGCTTACATACAAACACACACACACACACACACACACACACACACACAAATGTAATTTTAAAAAGGCCTGTATAGTATAATGGGGGAGAGGGTTGGTCAAGATGGTTTAATGATCAAATGTTAATGATTGTTATTAATTCAAAATGAGTGAGGGAATGGGGAGAAGGCTTAGTCAGTAAAATGCTTACCATGTGAACATGAAAATCTGGGTTCAGATTCCCATCGCTCACATAAAAAGTTGGGAATGCTTGCATACCTGTTATCCAGCTCTGGGAGGTAGAGACTAGAGATCCTTGGGGCTTTCCGGCCAGCTATACTAGCCAAAAGTGTGAGCTCTGGATTTAGTGAGAGACCTTATCTTAGACAGTAGGGTAGAGAGTGATTGAAGAGGCACCTGACCTCCACACACATGCACAAATATGTAAATATCCATCTTTCATACTGGAATTAGTGAAATGAGTTATTCTACACTACTATTATCAACTATTATACTGATATTTTGATTTTTCAAATGATTTCAAGAGAATCTGAGTATCAGAATTTGTTTCCTTTAGAAATAGGATCACATTTAACCTAGTTAACTTGAACTCATTCTGTAGTCCAGAGTGGCCCTTGACCTCCTGGTCCTCTTCCTTTTGCTGTACAAGTATACACCATTATGTCCATTTTTGCAATGCTGGGGCTGGAATTTAGGGCCTGTATGTACTAGACAAGCAAGAACTTTACAACTGAACTATGCTCCAGCCCCTGAATATGCAGGTTTTATATAAAATCTTGCAATATTTTGATTTTTACAGCATTGGGCAGATTATAACTTTAAAAAAATGTTTATTCATTGTTATGTGTATGACTGTTTTGCCTGCCTGTATGATGTTTTGTGTAGTGCCTATATAGCGTAGGGTGTTGGATTCTCTAGGACCAGAGCCACAGATGGTTACAAGCCACCATGAGGGTGATGGGAATTGAACCCTGGTCCTCTGGAAGGGCAGTTGATGGTCTTAACAGCTGAAGCATTTCTCCAGCCCCTGGAGAGATATGACATATCTGGAATTTAGCCTTCACTTTTCTAAGCCCCAGCTGCCTCTCTGTAGATGGGAAAATAATAGTACTCATTTCACAAGACTATAGGAGCTAAGTGAGGTAATACACGTGAATGTTTGTAATGTGGAATTGGCTCAGGGAACACTTACTGTTATCTGAGAAGTTGCACAGTAAGGGATGCCATTTGACTTTAACTCATTTTTTGCCCCAGTAAGATATTGCTTTTAATTTAAAAATATATTGTAAAATATTTTGTTTATTAACATCTCTAAGGTCTAGGGTTTCTTAATGTATGCTTTGGGAAAATTCTGCCAAAGATAAAAGTATTAAATATTTATTATGCTATTTTTCTGTTCTTTTTTCTCATCTGTAGGTGGTGCTCTACAGCTTTAGGAGAAATCAGTATTTCTTTGACCTTTTTTAAATCTTTGAGATAAGGTCTCGAAACAGAGTTTGTATTTATAAATGATAAGCCACAGAAATAAAATAAAGTAAATATCTTGATTTGTAAATAGTTCAACCTGAGGAAGAACTTGTCTCAACCCATAATAGTAGTATTGCTAAATATTAGACCAGTACTTTTTGGGTCAGAAAGCACTTTCTTACGATTCTTGTTAGTTAAATTTCCTAGATGAGGAAACTGAGGCTCTGAGATGTTAGAGACTAATTGATTTGCTTAATGTGCAGTTAACGAATAGTGGGCTTGGTGTGCAACTTGGATATTTAATCCTAGCTTAATACTAATTGCTTTAAAGTGGTTTTTAATTATGCTGCAGATAAAATCAAATGGCAGCAACCCATGAAGAGTTACATTGTAGATTAGATACTCTTTTTTTCTTTACTGAAACTTCCCACTGTCTGTTCTCTACTGGTCTGGTATTTATGGTCCTCCTGCCTCTATCTTCTAAGAGTTGGGATTAAAGGCATGTACTATCACACCTGACTCACTGTTATTATTCTTTAATGTCTTTTAACAATGCCTTTTTAACTGCCTAAGCTTGTCTGAGCATCCTGGTAAATCCATAAGAAAGATATTTTACTTTTATGTGGGATATGTGTTTAGGGAATCTTGGGTTTGGATTTTTTCTTCTGCTTGCTCCCTCACCCCCCCCCCCCCAAGGAGAGATTGTGCATTTAAAGTGCTGAATTGAATGGGAACATCTCTTTAGTTTCTATTCATGAATTGCATTTTAAGTGAAAGCTGTTTCTCTTGGTTATAGATATTTGAATGGTGGTACTTCCATAAGCATGGCACATCTTTTATTGAGCAAGTGTCTATAAGCCACTTACGACCACTGATAGGAGGAACAGAGAGTAGCATTTCAGAGCCAGGTTCTCCTGCCAGCAACAGAGAAAGTGAAACCACGAGACACCACCATCTATCAGGTAATTTCCCTTTTGGTGTTTTCGGAGCTGTGTAATCAAGCTTAAGTTCACTTACAGAGGATCAGTCTCAAAACAACAGAAGGTATTAGTTTGTGTGCTAATGTCCCTTTCACATGTAATGATGTTAGGAGATAGGGCTTGGGGGAGGTGATCACATCATGAAGATAGAACTCTCATGGATAGAATTAGTGTCCTAAGGAAAGAGACCACAGAGAGCTATTTACTCCTATCACTTTATGAGTACATAACAAGAGTGCCATTCACAAACCAGAAAGTGAGCCTTTACCAGGCACTAAATCTTCCAACACCTTGAGCATGGGTTTGCTGGCCTCCAAAACTATAAGGAATTAAATTAATGTTGTTGTTATGATACTCAGTTTGTGGTATTTTGTCATAGTAATCCAAGTATATAAAACACAGAGACAAACTTGTCTTTTCCTGTTAATGTAGGTAAGCCATTCTGGTGTAGAGAGCAGTTATCATCACAGTCTCAGACCCCTTCTCTTGTAGTCTATCATCTCCAGACACTGTTTGTTTGTTTGTTTGTTTGTTTGTTTATGTATGTATTGAGACAGAGTTTCACTATGTAGCCCTGACTGGCCTGGTGTTCTCCCCATAGTCTAGGCTGTTCTAAAACTCACAGAGATCATCTGCATCTGCCTCCAGGGTCCTCAGATTAAAGAGATGCACCACAGTGCCCAGCAGATGCAGGTTTAAATTTGTGGTCCAAGGTACTTGTTTTGGCTTTAGTCATCATATCTACCTTCCATTCAGTAGGTAAAAGAAAAGCCCTCACTTCTCCTAACTCATCCTAATCTATTCAGAAGTGCCTAGCATGCACAAGGCTGTGGTTCATTTCCCAGCCCCACCACTCATAATTCTAGCATGTAAGAGATTGAGGCAGAAGGTCAGGAGTTGAAAATCTTCCTTAGCTAAGTTTTAAGGAACTCTATGCTACATACAGGAGGGTAAAGGTAAAATGACATAATTTTTTTCAGATTTACTTATCTTGTTTTATGTGTATGAGTGTTTTGCCTGCTTATATGTCTATGTATCACGTGTGTACCTGGTGCCCAAGGAGATGATAAGAAGTCATTAGATCCCCTGGAAATGGAATTATAAATGGTTGTCAGTCACCACATGGGTTTTGGGAACCAAACTAGGGTTCTCTGAAAAAGCAACAAGTGCCAAGTCATCTCTCCAGCCCCCCATCATTATTTTTGAGACAGGGTCTCATGATGTACCTGGAGCTCATCATTTTGCTACCGAGCCCCCAGAATCTGCCTGTCTTCACTTTGCTAACATAGGATTCCAGAAGTGCACTGCCTTGTCTGGCTTTTATCGGGTCCTAGGGATCCACTCGGTTCCTCATGCTTGTGCAGCAAACACTTACACACTGAGCCATCTCTCCAAAGTATAGCTCTGTGCTTCCTCAGCTTGGATGTTCTGTGTCTGGAAGACACACACACACACACACACACACACACACACACACAAAACAATTTTTTTTTTTTTTGGTTTTTCGAGACAGGGTTTCTCTGTGGCTTTGGAGCCTGTCCTGGAACTAGCTCTGTAGACCAGGCTGGTCTCGAACTCACAGAGCTTCCCGAGTGCTGGGATTAAAGGCGTGCGCCACCACCGCCCCGCCCTTGAAGGTTTTTAATGTTAGTTCAAATGTCAGTGCCCCTGTAAAATCTTCTGTGATTGACCACTTTTTTTTTTTGTCTTAGATTAAAACATCTCTGCTATAGTACATGTCACATAGTTCAGATGGTTGTTTATATTAAAACATCTCTGCTATAGTACATGTCACATAGTTCAGATGGTTGTTTATATGACTAGTTCTCATGCTGTGCAAGTCAGTTCCACAAGCTGTGATAGGATCTAGGAATGTAAGAGTGGATGAAGTTTAGTAGATCCTATTTGAGAGAGGAAACTGAAAAGCAGCTGGTAATCACATACAGTAAGGGTTGGAGCTGAATTATGAACAAAATGTCATTGAGACAGAAATACAGCAATAACTAGATTTGATACTGTGCTTCCCGAGAGCAAGGGTGACTTGTACCTCTTTTATGTTTGTGCTGTATGTGCCTGGCACTGTGTTAAGTGTTGGTTAGTGAAAGTTCACCTGCATTTGATTAAATGAAGTTTTACTCTTGTTTTTCAGAATGCAAGGTCTGGAGAAACCCTTTAAACCTCTTTAGAGGAGCAGAATATAGGAGGTAAGACATTTTGCTTTTCAGGGTAAGTATGGTGTTGGTCTTAGAGTAAAAGTGCTGTGGGATAATTATCTTTCTAAATCTTCTACAGCCTCTTCTAATTGGAAATTCTGACAATATTAAAGTGAGTGATTCGCTCAAGAGTAGGTATTATCTTGACTGTTTACTTTTTTTTTTTGGTTTTTCGAGACAGGGTTTCTTTGTAGCTTTGGAGCCTGTCCTGGAACTAGCTCTTGTAGCCCAGGCTGGCCTCGAATTCACAGAGATCCGCCTGCCTCCCGAGTGCTGTTTACTTTTTTTTTTTTTAATATAAAAGGAAGTAACAGCTCTTTAAATTTTATTCTTCGGCATTTTCATATTTGTATATGATATATTCTGGTCACACCCATCCCTTCATTTTCTCTTAGCCTCTTCCCACTCCACCACTTCTCAGTTCCTCTTCCACATGTTTTTCTTTTGTGACCCACTGGATTTAACCACTGGAGCATAAGGAAGTCACCAGTGGCTATCACGGAAGACAATGGCTTCCGCTCCTCCTAGGGCCATTGATCATCAAGCTCCCGGGACAGGAAAGACCCAGAAGCCCCTCTCCCATCAATGACTGAATGTTTATTGACTCAGTCTTGTGCAGACAGCTGTAGTCTGAGTGTTATTGCCTTGTCACACCCATAAGACCGCATTTCCTAGTCCCCCTCCCCATTGCTCAGATGCTGCTTGTTTTTCTGCTCTCTTCTACGATAGAGGAAAATTAGGAAACAACCTTCCTCAAGGTTGTTTGACCAAGCAATTGGTATTGACCCAGCAATACCACTTTTGGGTATATATCCAAAGGATGCTCAATCATGCCACAAGGACATGTGCTCAACTCTGTTCATAACAGCTTTGTTTGTCATAGCCAGAACCTGGAAACAACCTAAATGCCCCTCTACCAAAGAATGGATAAGGAAAATGTGGTACATTTACACAATGAAGTACTACACAGCAGAAAAAAAATGACATCTTGAATTTTGCAGGAAAATGGATGGAGCTAGAAAACATTATTTTGAATGAGGTAAACCCAGACACAGAAAAACAATTATCACATGTACTCACTCATAGGTGGTTTTTAAACATAAAGCAAAGAAAACCAGCCTACAAATCACAATTCCAGAGACCTTAGACAACCGTGAGGACACTAAGAGAGACTTACATAGAACTAATCTACATGGGAGGTAGAAAAAGACAAGATCTCCTGAGTAAATTGGGAGCATGGAGACCTTGGGAGAGGGTTGAAGGGGAGGGGAGCAGAGAAAAATGTAGAGCTCAATAAAAATCAATTAAAAAAATAAAAAAACAAGCTCTCCTGTAGCCTTGTTATATAGTATCCATTTCATGTAAATCTTTATGAGGAATTCCTTACTATTGGAAACATATATGGTTAGCACCTAGTTTTTAGAGCATTTTACTGAATAACGTATTGGTTTGTTTTGTTTTTGAGACAGGTTCCATGCTGTAACTGAGGCTATCTTGCTATGCGGCTCAAGCTGGCCTCAGACTTATAGGCATGAGCCACCAAGCCTGGATGAGCAATTTATTTTTTTTAAATGTTTTATTATTGAACCATAGAGTAGTCATTTTTTTTTACCTCTTACTGATATAATAAGTTTTAAAAACACCCTGAAATAGAACTTATAGTCCCTTATTTTTTGGAACTTAAGTGTCTGTTGTAGCAACTGAAACATCTTGTGTTTGCTACAGATACACTTGGGTGACTGGTAAAGAGCCACTTACTTACTATGACATGAACTTGTCTGCCCAGGATCACCAGACCTTTTTCACCTGTGAAACAGACTTTTTACGTCCTTCAGACACAGGTATGTATTGTATCTGTTCATGCTATAGACAGTCACTATGAAAATTATTTCATGTGTTTTCTAAAACTATTTATTATAATAACAGTTACTTGACTTGGAGTTATTTACATTTTAGATAGAAAGTTCAGATTAAATTAAAGTGAATTATGATTATAAACTAAGCTAATGTACTATTCTTATAAGAATTTTAAATGTTTTATGCTTTTTATTACTTAAAACACTTTCAAAGTCGGGTGGTAATGGTACACACCTTTAGTCCCAGTGCTTGGGAGGCAGAGGCAGGCGAATCTCTGTTTCAAGGCCAGCTTGGTCTACAGAGCTAGTTCCAGGATGTTTGCAGAGCTATACACAGAGAAACCCTATCTTGAAAAACCAAGAAAATCAATAAATAGATAGGTAGGTATGTAAGTAGATTGATAGATAGATAGATAAATAGATAGATAGATAGATAGATAGATAGATAGATAGATAAACCAAAAATTTTTCAGATCAAATATAGCAGAAAATAATATATATTGCTTTGGTCGGAGAAACAATTACCTGACAATAGAGCAGGAACTAGTGAGATAGTCCAGTGGATAAAGTGCTCACCGTGCAAGTCTGACAACAGGAGTTCGAATCTCTAGAACCTATATAAAGCTGTACACAGTACTACACATGCCTGTGATCCCTGTGCCTCTATGGGGAGATGAGAGACAAAAATAGGAGACTCCACAGACGTTCAAGAGCCACCTAAAACAGCTAGCTGCTATCACAAACAGTGTGGAAGGTGAGGCCAGCATCCGAGTGTATCCTCTGCCTCTGCACGTGCTCTCATGCACACGTACACGCACACGGAGAAAGAGAAGGTATGAACTTCGGGCAATGACATCTAGAAGAAACATAGGGCATATTTTAGTCTAGTCAAAGATGAAAATTCATGTAAAGTGGTAGTTTATAGAAATGTCCATGTTTTAGGGCCCTCTAAGCTTTTCCCTACAGAGCAGAGTATTATAAGGGCTGGGGCTACAACTTAGTGGTAGGGGCTTTTCCTGTCATTTATGAAGCTCAGGGTCTGAGAGCACCAGGAAGTGGCTGAAGGAGTATATAACCTAAAGATAGGGCCATTTTCCCGTTGTCTACTTTGAATACTTTTGCTTTATCTGTGTGATGACTCACCAGTCACATTCTTTAAGACACCTTCTCTGGAAGCTTCTACACTATAGTATATGTTATATATTTTTTGATGCTATTTTGAATGGATGGATAGCATTGTTATTACACACATAAGTAATTTCATTAATAATAATTATTACATGGACAGCATGTGTACTAATTTGATCTTCCCAATCACTCTATGAGATAAAAACTATTGCCAGCCCCTCCCCCTTTTAAAAAGAAGGAGCTAAGCTGAGTATGGTGGTTTATGATGTAATCCTAGCACTCTGGAGGCTTAAGCAGGAAGATTGCCTGAAGTTCAAGACCAGCCTGGTCTATATAGTTCTAGGTCAGCCTGGGCTACATACATTGGGAGATTGTCTCAAACCCAAACAAACAAGCAAATATGTTTGATTGTCTCAAACCCAAGCAAACAAGACAAAGTATGTAAGTTGGACTAATTGCAAATATAGGAAAAAATTGCTTTATGTATGAATGCTCACTGTTTATGGTCACAGCCAATGTATGTTTGTTAAGGGAAACTGCAGTAGATCATCAGCTGTGTTAGGAGCTGAGGTGTCTTCAGAAATCAAATGCCATCTTATTTCTCCCTCTCACAAGCTGCTCAGACAGTTCTAGATGGCTCTTTAGAGCATTCTCAGTTTGAACAGTTCCTCAAAGAAATGTGAAAATCATAAGGTTAAATAATTGCGGAGAATACAATTTATGTTATATTAGAAAATATAGACATTTAAAAAACAAACCATTATTGCCTTTACTTGGATGTATATCATGAAAATCAGGCTTTACATGTGTGTGCCTGCCAGGATAGATGGTTACAAGCCAAGCACATCATGGAGCTAAGAATTTGATGATGACCATTTTCCATCAAAAACTATAATAATAGAAACAAACACTCTTTAACAGTAGTAAGCCTTATAGAAGTCTTTTTCGTTTTTGTTTTTGAGAATGAGTCTTAACACACAGTCTAGATCGCCTCACATTTGAGAACTTCCTGCTTTAGCCTCCGTGTTCTTGAAATCACAAGTGTGCGTCAGTGTAAGGTCCTTTTTCTTGAGTGCTTGTCTCTTCTGTACCTTTATATAATCTTATAACTATGTTATGTTTGAGAGTCTTTTACTACTCTTGCAACTCTTCCGCAATAGCCATTTTATATGAAATTATGTCAAGTTTGGTGAAAAGATTCTGAATGCTGTGACGTATTTCTTCTTTTATCTACTATCTATTTTGGTTTTTTGAGTCTCACTATCTTGTTCTGGCTGTCTTGGAACTCAATATATAGAACAGGCTGGACTTGAAATCACAGAGATCCTCCTGTCTCTGCCTATCAAGTACTGAGATTAAAGGGGTGTGTCACCACACCTCACTGTTGTGATGTATTTTAATTATATTCTTGTCAAATCTTTAACACCTATATACTTAAATACTTAACTATTTTTTTCTCCTCAAAATATGCCCTTTAAAGTCCTAATTGGGTATCTTTGTTGTCAATTCCGTCAAAGCATACTGACAGAGAAATCTGATCCCATTCTCCATTTTTCTGTTCAGGTAGATATGTAAGCTTCTCCATCATAACTGTTTCTTTTATGTATCAGATTTTTGCTTGTTTTGTGAGAAAGGGTCTCTTCTGTAGCCCAGGTTGTCCTTAAACTCATACTGCTCCTGCGTCAGGTGGGGTTATAGAACTGTGATACCTAGCTCTGGATTAAGATTCTGAGAAGAAAGATGAAATTTTGAGCTTTGTGTAATGCTTGTCACTTGCCAGACTGAAGCACCGTGGCCTTATTTATTTCTTGCCAATGGGTCCTTTGACTTCCTGTAAGGACCTTCCCTTAGGAATAATTCACTTTTTTAAAGAACTAGGGAGGGGTACTAATGGGACTAATAAAAATGGTTATCACTCCTTAATTAAAAGCATTGAGGAGCCAAATATTCTATTTCTGTTTATTTATTTAGCATCCATTTTGAAAGATTTTCACAGAGCTCAGGCTGGTGGCTTCAAATTCCCTATAAACTGATGATATCCTTGAGTTTCTGGTCTTTCTGCCTTTACCTGAGTGCTAGGATTATAGCCAGTCCATGTGGTGCTGGGGTTGAATCCAGTGCTTTGCACATTCTAGGCAGGCACCCTCCCCAGTGTGGGAGAGTACTATTCTTTGTGAAGTTCCACTGCTCAAAGAAAGAAGAAAAGGCAGGAATCCTTATTTTCAGGGGTCTTGATTTAGTGTGACTGCCCTCAGCTAGGCTTGATTGTTCATGCCTTTAACCCTAATACTTGGAAGACTGAGGCAGGAGGATTTTAGCTTTACCTCAAAAACAAAAAGAGAAAAAACAACCCAAAAATCCAAGTACAGCCATCTCCAAAACTGACTGCTCCAAATCTAAACCGCCTTGTACTATTGACACCGAGAGGTCTTGAGCAGGATGTCAGCTGAGCTGTATACACAGTGAATCTGTGAAGATTTGGAGTGGCTAAGAGGCAAGCTTTTCTTTTGTAACCTCAACGGGAGCATAGCTCTAAGAAGAGGGTTAGTAATTATGGTTAGGTAGGAAAGGATGAATAGACTAGTCAGAGGAGCATTCTTCAGGTAAATCAGTTATAGGAAAGAGTCATAGGAATTTTAATAAACTGAGGCTTTTGATAGCTTCCTTCCCGTCCGTCTGTCCTTTCTTCCTTCCTTCTTCCCTCCCTCCCTCCCTGCCTCCTCCCTCCTCCCTTCCTCCTTCTTTCTTTTCTTTTTTCTTTTCTTCTTTTCTTCTTTCTCTCTCTCTCTCTCTCTCTTCCTCTCTTTCTTTCTTTCTTTCTTTCTTTCTCTTTTGGTTTTTCAAGACAGGGTTTCTCTGTGTGGCTTTGGAGCCTATCCTGGAACTCACTCTCTAGATCAGCCTGGCCTCGAACTCACAGAGATCTGACTGCCTCTGCCTCCTGAGTGCTGGGATTAAAGGTGTGCACCACCACCCTGTGACATTGATTTTTTTAAGACCACACGCATCATTTTGGTTCTTGCAGTTTCTTGTACTTCCAGAGGTGTGTGTAATCTACTTAAATACTGAACTCATAGGTAGACTTTGTTGATGAGAATTCAGAATGAACTGTCAGTTTTGTTTTCATCCTTTCAGACACCCACATAAGACAACGATTTATATCAGTACAGCTTTTTATGGTAAAAAAAGACAAACATGCACAAGTGAGATGTGATAAATTTCCCTTCACTTATTGTCATCAGTAGTCACGATATTAGATTTTGCTCTCATCTAATTGATTTGTTGATTTAAATCTGAGAATAAGCATTCCCTCAAGAGCTAGGTAGCGGTGCGCTTTGAATATGTTTTCACTTTGAAAATCTAGAAATCAGGATGTTAGCTGAGCTGTGTATACCTGTGGTCCCGGCTGCTAACAAGGTCGAGGTAGGAGGATAATGGAGTACGGGGCAACACCGGTGAGCCTGTCTCAGAGAGCATATGACACACTAGACAGCCAAAGCCTCAAGAGATGGCTCATTAGTGTCCAGCTTTATACTTTAATGGAAGCTGAAAAATATGGGAGTGGACCTGCGAGTCCACAGACTGTGGTCAGCTAGGGCTGAGCATCTGTGGTTCTTGACCCACAGATAGGTGCAGTTCTTTTTTTGTGCTAATAAGAATATTGCAAATATTAATTGAAAAAAATAGATAAATCTGGGTGAAATTTTTTGTGTTTTAATTATTTTAAGCATATCATGAGCTCTTAGCAGTATTGAATAATAAATCAGTATTTTGATTTAAATTATTAGACCTTGGGGTTTTTTTTTAAGTCTTTTTTTTTTTTTTTTTAAAGACAGGGTTTCTCTGTGTAATAGCCCTGAGTGTCCTGGAACTCACTCTGTAGACTAGTCTGGCCTCAAATTTACAGAGACCCACCTGCTTCTGCCCCCTGAGTGCTGGGATTAATGGTGTTTGCCACCACCACTCAGCCTTTAATCCATTTTTAAGTTTGTATTTCCCCTTTCCCTTTAGATTTAGGAATACCTTGGTTGTAAAGAGCAATCTTGAAAGGTAGGAATGGCAGAGGATTTGAAAACACAAGAATAACAAAACATGCTTAAAGATGCATTACATAGATTCATTAGAAATGAAAAAGGATCTCTGTGAGTTTGTGGCCATCCTTGTCTTCAGAGCGAGTTCCAGGACAGGCGAGGATGCACAGAGAAACCATGTCTCAAAAAAAGAAAAACAAAGAAAAACAAAAGGCAAAAACAAACACAGTAGAAATAAAAAATTGTCTTCATGTGTTAAATTAACCGAGATTTATAATGTAAACTGAGTAGCCCTTTTCTGAAATGCTAGGGACCAGAGCGTCCTTTAGATGTTCTTTAATATTTGAGATATTTGTATGTGCATAATGATATATCTTGAGAATGGGACTCAAATCTAAACTCAGAATTCTTGTTTCATATATGTTTTATACACATAGGTGGAAATATTTTTTGTGTGTTGTTTCGATATTGGTTTGTAGAGATAAGGGCTTATATAGCCCTGTCTAGTCTTTAACTCCTTAAGTAGCCAACACTGGCCTTGAGCGCCTGCCTGGACTGCCTACATTCTGGGATGACAGGCATATGCCCCCATACCCTTCTTATTGTGCCTGTGTTTTGACTGCAGTCAGGTGCTGATTTTTCCACTTTTGGTTTTCCACTTTTATATGTTTTATATTTTGAAGTTTTATATAGTGATGCTCAACCTGGCTTGAAGGGTAAGAAACTGGGGAAATGGTCACTTTCCTGTACGGCCTCAAACTACAAATTAATAATTTTATTGAATGGAATTTGAGTGTATATATCCAAACTTCTTTAAATGCTGTACCTTTAAACAAAGAAATATTTAGTCATCTATACAAAGATAGAAGCTGAAAGATTATTTTTTGTTGGTTTTGTGTTTTGTATTGCAGTACTGAGGACTAAGTCTAAGATTTCAAGCTTGCCGGACAATTTTTTTTATTACTGAACTTTATTCCTGGCCATTTTTGCTTGTTCGTTTAAGTCAGGATATTGCTTTGTAGCCCTGGCTAACCTGGTACTTGCAGTATAGTCCTGGCTGGCCTCAAATTCATAGTGATCTTCCTGCCTCAGCCTCCAGAATGCTAGATAAGAGGTTTTCACTACCATACTGGCTGAATGATTGTTATCACAATGTGTTGGGTTTTTTTTGTTTTTGTTTTTTTTGCTATGCTTTGTGTTTGAGGCAGAGTTTCATGTAGGTTGAACTCAAATTCTCTGCATAGCTCAGGACGACCTTGCACTCTGGATCCTCCTGCTTCCACCCTCCAAGATCTCTTATGCATAGTTTATTATGTTTTAATAATGGGAAAGCACTGGAAATAACTTTTCATTGAAAGGGAATTAATTAGATAAATTATGATTCTATACCAGGATATTATATAATCACCTCAAATGCTGGTAAAGATTTGGCATTAAAATTTGGCCTGTAAATGCCGTACAGTTTATAGTAGAGTCCTATCATCAAAGGTTTACAAGACTATGGTATTAGTACCATAGTATGTCTCTATGTCCTACTTTAGTTTTGTGGCAGACGGTGCTCTTTACCTGGTCAGAATCAGGCAGTGCTGGCTTGCATCAATTTGTCAAGTTCAGGAAGCATTAGCTGTCAGCTAGCTGGTGACATGTTTGATATGAAAAATGTATTTTTGTTACACATGTGGAATATATTGTCTCATTTCTGAGCCAAAACTAATATTTTGTTTCCAAAGGAAAACTCAAACATTTTCCACATTATTCTTTCTGGACAGTTGTAGGTTTTGTTCCAAAGTCAACATTTATAAGTTCTCCATTTTTCTTATCAAATATAAAGTAAGCCAGGTATTTCCCAGAATCTACTTTGTGTGTGTGTTTGTTTAGCTTTTAGGAGACATCACGGAGCATGATATCTATCTTCATTTTGGTTCAGTAAATGTTAGCAAAACCCATCCCATTATTCCAGAGAAATCCTAACTCAGGTTAGTTTTGAATCTTGATAAAGCTGAGGTTTTCCAAAGATGTGCTGTATTCTAAATTATCCCAGTCTTCCTTCCCAGTTTTCATAGAAAACGCACATCTACACTTTTTCCTATGCTGAATCATTGATTAAACAAAGACTGTTTAGCTTTTGTGTATTCTTAGTGGTTCCACAGGCCTTTTCAGAACAGTGAAAGTAGGACTGTCATGTCTATTATAATCTAGTGTCACTCCAGCTCTATTTTGACATCCACTTAGATACATAAGTGTCATGTGTTAATATGATGTGATTAATTCAGTTAAAGTGCTTTATTTGCTATGAAAATAGATCATAGAATATTTTTATTATATGCAAAGGTTCCAGATTTAAAATAAATTTCTCATGTAAATGTGAGTTAGTAACCCAGTTTCATATGTTTAAAAACATGGTATTTAAAGCTTTGTTTACTCTTTTAGCTCATTCTTCATACGTTTTACATAAGATTATTTATGTTTACCATCTCATCCACTCTTTGAAATATTTTTCCCACAGTTATGCAGAAGGCATGGAGGGAAAGAAATCCTCCAGCTCGAATCAAAGCAGCCTATCAAGCTTTAGAGTTAAACAATGAGTAAGTTGGAAAAATAAATTTGTTTTAAAGGAAACACAGGCAAATAATTTTGTATTTCCTTTATCTGCTCATAAGATTAGGAACACTGGCATCTCCATTCCTGTCTCGCATACTGGAGACCAGATTCTCAGTGTTCAATGATGTCTGTATTTTGCTTTTGAAAGTGTAAATTGCACATAATGGTTTTCCATAAAAGTATTTTAGAAATTCTTTTTAAAATAAAGATTACTAACAAAGAATGCTAATAATCCTTACTAGTTAAATGAGTAATTAAATATTTATGCCACTGTTTTATTTTGTTTTTCATTTAATTCATTCATTTAAAGCACTCATCAGTCCTGGGAACTTATACTCAGCAACGGGCTCTGAGACATAATAAGAGGATTCAAAATTAGTAAAATAGCTGTCAGTTTTTTCCATGTTAACAGCATTTACTTACATAGCTTTTTAGATTATCTGTTTATCTTAAGAGTACAAAAATGTAAAACAGCTAGTTAGTGTTTAAATGGCACAGATCAGTGACTTTTAATTGAATATATCCTAAATAAATGCCAGGTGGGACAATTCAAAGAATAGCTCCTGACTAATATGAATCTAGAGTTTCCCTTGTTCCTTTCCTGTCAGTAAAAAGATCCTCCTGAGTGAGCAAAATAATGGCAATGCTCTCCACCTAGTGACTGGCTGACCAGGGTTTGACTGACTTATGACACTAAAATATCAGAGCTTTATTGAAGTAACCTGGTGATCGCTCAGTCAAGTGCAAAGTACCTAAATACAAGGGAACTCATTCTCCACTCTCTGTCTCAGGGGGATTCTTAAAGACAAAATGCACAGCCAGACAGAGGTGTATAGTGCGGGAACAAACAGAGGTGTGTAGTGCGGGAACAGACAGAGGTGTGTAGTGCAGGAACAGACAGGTGTGTAGTGCAGGAACAGACAGGTGTGTAGTGCAGGAACAGACAGGTGTGTAGTGCAGGAACAGACAGGTGTGTAGTGCAGGAACAGACAGGTGTGTAGTGCAGGAACAGACAGAGGTGTATAGTGCAGGAACAGACAGGTGTATAGTGCAGGAACAGACAGAGGTGTAGTGCAGGAACAGACAGGTGTATAGTGCAGGAACAGACAGGTGTGTAGTGCAGGAACAGACAGAGGTGTATAGTGCAGGAACAGACAGAGGTGTGTAGTGCAGGAACAGACAGAGGTGTATAGTGCAGGAACAGACAGAGGTGTGTAGTGCAGGAACAGACAGAGGTGTATAGTGCAGGAACAGACAGGTGTATAGTGCAGGAACAGACAGGTGTGTAGTGCAGGAACAGACAGGTGTGTAGTGCAGGAACAGACAGAGGTATATAGTGCAGGAATGGACAGGTGTGTAGTGCAGGAACAGACAGAGGTGTAGTGCAGGAACAGACAGAGGTGTGTAGTGCAGGAACAGACAGAGGTGTGTAGTGCAGGAACAGACAGGTGTATAGTGCAGGAACAGACAGGTGTGTAGTGCAGGAACAGACAGGTGTGTAGTGCAGGAACAGACAGAGGTGTGTAGTGCAGGAACAGACAGGTGTGTAGTGCAGGAACAGACAGAGGTGTGTAGTGCAGGAACAGACAGGTGTGTAGTGCAGGAACAGACAGGTGTGTAGTGCAGGAACAGACAGGTGTGTAGTGCAGGAACAGACAGGTGTGTAGTGCAGGAACAGACAGGTGTGTAGTGTAGGAACAGACAGAGGTGTATAATGCAGGAACAGACAGAGGTGTATAGTGCAGGAACGGACAGAGGTGTATAGTGCAGGAACGGACAGGTGTGTAGTGCAGGAACGGACAGGTGTGTAGTGCAGGAACAGACAGGTGTGTAGTGCAGGAACAGACAGGTGTGTAGTGCAGGAACAGACAGGTGTGTAGTGCAGGAACAGACAGGTGTGTAGTGCAGGAACAGACAGGTGTGTAGTGCAGGAACAGACAGAGGTGTATAGTGCAGGAACGGACAGAGGTGTATAGTGCAGGATTGGACAGGTGTGTAGTGCAGGAACAGACAGGTGTGTAGTGCAGGAACAGACAGGTGTGTAGTGCAAGAACAGACAGAGGTGTATAGTGCAGGAACGGACAGAGGTGTATAGTGCAGGAATGGACAGGTGTGTAGTGCAGGAACAGACAGGTGTGTAGTGCAGGAACAGACAGGTGTGTAGTGCAGGAACAGACAGGTGTATAGTGCAGGAACAGACAGGTGTGTAGTGCAGGAACAGACAGAGGTATATAGTGCAGGAACAGACAGGTGTATAGTGCAGGAACAGACAGGTGTGTAGTGCAGGAACAGACAGGTGTGTAGTGCAGGAACAGACAGAGGTGTATAGTGCAGGAACAGACAGAGGTATATAGTGCAGGAACAGACAGGTGTGTAGTGCAGGAACAGACAGGTGTGTAGTGCAGGAACAGACAGGTGTATAGTGCAGGAACAGACAGGTGTGTAGTGCAAGAACAGACAGGTGTATAGTGCAGGAACAGACAGGTGTGTAGTGCAGGAACAGACAGGTGTATAGTGCAGGAACAGACAGGTGTGTAGTGCAGGAACAGACAGGTGTGTAGTGCAGGAACGGACAGGTGTGTAGTGCAGGAACGGACAGGTGTATAGTGCAGGAACAGACAGGTGTGTAGTGCAGGAACAGACAGGTGTGTAGTGCAGGAACAGACAGGTGTGTAGTGCAGGAACAGACAGGTGTGTAGTGCAGGAACAGACAGGTGTGTAGTGCAGGAACAGACAGAGGTGTATAGTGTGGAACAGAGCTAGAATTGTTGGTTTTTACTAGTATGATGATTTTTTGAAGCACGGCACAAAGGGCTTGCCCTGTTTCAATTACCTTAAGATTCTCTGAATTGAACATACAAAAAATAGAGAAAAATGTGTTGTTCGCTGTCTGATACAAAGAATAAAACAAACGTAGGGACAAGAAAATAGAGAAACCAGAAAATTTGTGAGGAAAGGTCAGGGAGTGAGACACTGGAGACCTTGGAAAGCTTCCACAGATTCCGGGAGCCTCAAAGACCCAATTTTTCACAGAGTTGGGCACATGCTCAGAAATACTTGGTTTTCAAGGCCTTTTAAGCCCATATATTATCTTAATTCATGAAAAAAAATGACCAAATCCAACAGCATTTTATGATAAAATTACTAAAAAATGTTAGATATGTGAGGAATGCTCTATCTGGATAATATTGAGGCTGGCACCAGTGAGAAATGACAGCTATGGTAGTTGTAAAATACCTGAGTGAATGTTGAAAGTGCACCCTGGTGCACACACCACACACACACACACACACACAGAGAGAGAGAGAGAGAGAGAGAGGGAGAGAGAGAGAGAGAGAGAGAGAGAGAGAGCGCCTTCCTCGGAGACTTTGTTTTTGTACTTTTTCCCTAGATATTTAAGAAAACTTTATCTGATAATTAATCGACCACTATGCTAACCAAGCACCCACCTTATTGGTCACAAATGGAAGAGTACAGAATTAACAAAATCATCAGGAAAGCCAGGAAACAAACAACTACAATGGCAGCAACAACAGAGAGGTTACAGAAAATCCTATTCTAGAGTTGCCAGAATATTAGAGTTTAAAATGACGATTTTCAACCGAAAATTATGAAGCCTGCAAAGAACATGGGTGGGGTGGCAGATGCTTCCAATCTCAGCAGTCAGGAGGCTGTAACTGAACTCTGGATTAGCCTGGGCTACAGCCAGGCCCTGTTACCAAACAAAACAACAGAAACCAGCATTCAAAGAAACAACAGAACAAAAATGAGGAAAAGTATCCATGGAAATGTTTCCAAAGAAGTCTGGACTTTTGACTTCATAGATCTTAAATCATCTACTTTAAATTTGTTCAAAAAGGTAAAAATCACAAGAAAAGTCTATGGTGATGTTTCACCATTAGAAAATTATCAATACATTTTTGAAATCCCAGTAAGTGCAGCTGGGCACACAAGGGACTAAGAGGAAATCCTAGGATTGAAAAATACAGCTGAAGTAAAAATGTACTGTAGGGAGCTCTGTACGGATCTGAGCAGACAGAAGAGTCAGCAAAGCTGTGTTAGGCCCTTTGAGCTTACGTAGTCTCAGAAGTAGGAATATGAGGGCTGGAGAGATGGCTCAGCGGTTAAGAGCATTGCCTGCTCTTCCAAAGGTCCTGAGTTCAATTCCCGGCAACCACATGGTGGCTCACAACCATCTGTCATGAGATCTGGAGCCCTCTTCTGTCATGCAGGCAGAACATTGTATACATAATAAATAAATAAAAAAATCTTAAAAAAAAAAGAAGTAGGAATATGAGGGCTGTGGGGCAGTCAGTCATGCTGCCCTACGTATAAGTGGAGTCCCTGAAATACGGGAGAGAGGAAAACAGGGCAGAAATAATATTTGAAGAAATAATAGCCAAACCAAAATATTAATACACCGAATCCAGCGGCATTTGGAAAATATACATGAGGACCAAGTGGGGTTTGTTACAATTGAAGAGTTTCAACACATGAAGGGAGGAATCTACATGATTGTCTCAGCTGGTACAGGAAAAGCCTCTGACAGTGTGGTACTGTCATGACAAAATATGTGAAACTAATTAATGTAACATATTGCATTAATAGGGCAAAGTGCAAAACCCACAAGTTATCTTAGTTTGTTAAAAAGGTATTTGACAAAAACCGAACATTTTATGATAAATACTAAGAAATATTGTAGATGTAAGGAATCCTGCTCAAATTAACGAGGGATCTCTGAAAAGCCAGCACCTAAGGACACTTAGTGATGAAAGACTGCGAGCTGTTTAAACCAGAAAGACAAGGATGCCTGCCCTCGCTGCTTCTGTTTACATGTTATTAGAACTCCTAACAAGCGCAGTTAGGCAAGGTAAGGGAAAAATGTATCCAGATTTGAAAGGAAAAAGTAAACTGTCTTTATTCACAGGTGGTGTGGCCATATGTCTAGAAAACCTTAAGAAGGTCACACAAACAGAATCCTCTCAGTGCTTATAATCTAGGTTAAATACAAGTAAAAAGTTAGCAATTCCATTGACAATGGCATCTAGCATATGAAAGTGCTTAGGGGTAAGTTTGGCCAAGAAAGTGTGAGCCTTGCACACTGAGAATTAGAAAACAGCTGGGGAGACGCAGGTCTGTCTGCTGACCTGAGCGTGACCCCAGAACCTAGGAAGAAGAGAACTGACCCCCAACAGTCATCTTCTGACTTACATGAATGTGGTGGTATATGTGTGCCCACATTTATGTGCTCAAAGTAATTAAAAACAACTTGAAACCTCACAAAATGTTATTCAAGCAGCAAAGAAAAAAAGAAAAGAAAAGCTGATCTGTATGTGTATATATATATATATTCATATATGACACAAGTTCAACATCTTTAACTGAAATGTCAGTGCTCCCCTGTATCAATCTGTAGATTTAATCTATCTCCTATTAAAGTTAGTACTGCTGGAGCCAGAGAGAAGGGCCAGTTGTTAAGAGCACTTTCCAGAGGACCCTGATTTGATCTCAGACAGCCATGTGGCAGCTCACAATCATCTGAGGCTACTTCCACTTCTGGGGGGATCCAACACCCTCTTCTGGTCTCCATGGGTTTTGCATGCATTGATACATACACATGCAGGCAAAACACTCATACATGTAAAATATTAAAATAAAAATAATTAAAATCTCCGTTACTATTTTTGCAGAAATTGACAAGCTGGTCTTAACATTTGTGTGTAGTTGCAAAAGAATCTAAGTAGCCAAAAACAATCCTAGGACCACATTAGAAGACTCATATTTTAAAACTTTCTACAAAACCAGATGGTTAAACCATAAGATTAAATGCCTAGACTGACTTACTTAGACTTACTGGAAAGTAAGCCCAAATATTTATGGTCTTTCAGTTGATTTTTGATGGAGGTGCCAAGGCTATTCAAAAAAAAAAAAGAGAAGTCTTTAAAGTTGGGCTATGGTGGCATATGTCTGTAATCCCAGCATTTGGGAGGCAGAGGCAGGTAGATCTCTGTGAGTTTGAGGCAAGCCTGGTCTACAGAGAGAGTTCCAGAACAGACAAGACTATACAAAGAAACCCTGTCTTGAAAAACCAAACTGAAGAAGAGGAAGAGGAGGAGGAGAAAAGAAGAAAAGGAGGAAGAAGAGGAGGAAGAGGAAGAAGAAGAAAAAGAAGAAGAAAAGTAAGAAGAAAGTAGTAGTAGTTTTTAACACAGTGCTGAACGATTGGATAGTTACATCTACAAGCTGGCAGTTGGACCCTTATGTTACATATACATATTAATTAATTAAAAAATAAGTAACTAAAGTGTAAACTATTATAAGAGAACATGGACTGGGTTAGGGATGCAGGTCAGTGGTAGAGTTCTTGCCTAGTGTGCTTGCAACCCTGCAACTTTGCCCTGTAAAAGAGAGGAGAGGACATAAGGGATAGTCTTATGTCCCCAGGTTTCCCAGTGACTTAACAGACACAACAACAAAGGCAGAGGCAATAGAAGAAAAAGTAGGTAAACTGCCTTATTAAAGCAAAACCTCTGTGCACCAAAGGGTACATTGAAGAGGTGCTGTGTGACTGTGGGCAGGGAGGCAGGAGAGACAATGGAATTGCTGAAAGGGTATGGTGCTTTTGGGGGTGATGAAGATGCTATATGTACCTGTTATAGTTGCATGACCTTGAGAATATAGTAAAAGTTTCTGAATTTTGCAGTTGAAAATGTTTTGCCCTGGTGGGCCTGCAAGATGGCTCAGCTGGTAAAGGTACCAGCAGACAAGCTGATGGCTTGACTTTGATCCCAGGACCTCCATGGTGGAAGGAGAGAACCAAATCCCACGAGTTGTCCTCTGACCTCCACATGGGTACTGGGATGTACACACAGGCACACATAATAAAAGTTAAATACCTGAAATAGAAAATGAAATTTTATACAGGCATGTGAATTTATCCCCAGTCTAAGACAAAAGGAAGTCATTAGGTATGCATCGGACTAATTTCTAATGCAAGAATAGAAGGCAAAGTTGCCAGGAAGCATGAACTATAACCTAGGATGTGGTTTGGTGGCAGTGGTGGTGGTGGTGGCAGTACTGGGGGTGGAACCCAGGGCCTTGCACATGATATACAAGTGCTTTGTCCTTGAGCCACATTTCCAGCCCCCTTTATTCACTTTTTGAGACAGTCTTACTAATTTGCCCAGGCAGTCCTTGAACTTGTGACCTTCCTGCATCAGCCTTCTGAGAAACTGGGATTACAGTCCTGTGCTGCCAGACCTGGCTTGTAATTTAAAGTTATATTAGGAGCTGGGGATGTATCTAATGGTAAACATTGCCTACCATGTGAGTTCCTGAGTTTTATTCCCAGCAACACAAAACTAAAATAAAATTATGTTTATATTTAGATTCTGTTTCATCAGTTTTATCAAGGTTTTTGTACAAGTGGTATTCTGTTTTGTTTTGCAGTGCTGGGATCGAACCCAGGGCCTCAAGCATGGTAGGCAAGTGCTATACCACTGCTACACCCCCAGCCCTACAGAAATATTTCTATCCTGGTTATTTAAAAGTTTTTGAAACAAAACATTAAATGCAAATATTTGATAATGGGCATTGTGACATACATCTGTAATTGCCAGCAGTTGAGAAGCTGAGTCAGGAGAATGAGAGTTCAGGGCTAGCCTGGGCTGTGTTGCAAGATTCTATTGCAAACAACATTGAATTTGTTTTTGGAGCAGCAAGCAGGGTACCTAGTGTTTAAACCACCAATATATCTAATGTTTTATCAAAGCCCAGTGTTAGACATGGGAGAAATGTGTTGATTAGTAACATTATATATATAAAGTTACAGTGCCATTTGAAAAATACCATAGTGGTGTGATTTGATTTTTGTATCTGAAAGGCCCTTCTTGACCCTCATTGAGAATAGGTACCTTTTTCTTTTATTCTTCAGTAGTAGACAGGGGCCTGTCATAGAACCCAGAGGACATAGGTACTCCTATATAGTCAACGCTGTCCCCAAACTCCAGGTCCTCCTACCTCAGGGTTCTAAGTGTTGGAATTGTAAATGTGGAAATGTGGAAGCTAGCTACTCACTGTCACTGTGTTTCATGCCTGCCCTTGCATCTGTTGCCAATAATTTCTGTTTAATTGGAACATGTGAACCATATATGTAACTTTTTAGATTTGAAAAGTTAAAAGAAGTTAGTTTGGGTGTCTCAATTGTCTAGATTCAAAATATAAAACATTTTCACATATGATCAATATTTTAAAAGCCTTGTCAATGAGGCATTTTACATTTTCTCGGTCTTTAAGATCTAAGGTGCATCAACATGCCGTGTCAGTTTAGATTAAGCACATCTCAGGTGCTCAGAAACTCCTTGTGGCTACTGACTTGAGTGTTAGACTGTGCAGGCCTGGACAAGCAGAACTAAGACATCCTCTTCAGACTAAATGTACTTGTCTGGAAATACATGGAAGGCAGACTTTGTTTTTCTTTATTGCCCAAAGCCAAGAATTAGTTTATTTTATTGGCCAGCTGTTGTCTTTAAAGATACAAACAAAAATCTCTGTGTTTTATCAGGGTGAAGAAAAGGAAGCTTGGGGTAAACATGGGTGTGAGTTGAGCGTAGGTGTATGAGAGGAAGGCCTGGAATGCAGCCCTGTGGAGGATAAGACACAGAGAGAACACTTGGATTTGTAGAAAAGGCTCAGGGTAGGAATGTTCCTGGTCAGATATGGAGAGCCCTCATTAGCCAAGCAAGCCTTTCAGTGTGCATTCCCTTCATATCCACATGGTGTGGACATTGCAGAGCAAGCAGAGCCCGAGAGCAGGCCTGACCAGTGGGTGGTGTGGTCCTTACAGCTACTTCTTTAGACGACGTTTTATGTATCTTTCTTATTCTCCCCTTCCACAAAAAGAAAACACAGAGTCAGAGAACAGAGCTAGAAATAGAAAAGACAGAAAATAGTGGAAGAAACATTGTGGGGTTGGACATAATGAATACGCTAGTGTACCCCTGATGACTTAAAATGCTGAATGACGTTTTATTTTCCTCCTCAAAGATGGAGAGTGTAGGTACGGATGAGGGAAGCATGACATAGCAAGAGGCCTGTCCAGAGAAACGTGAGCTTCACCACAGTACTTAACATAGCCTTGCTTGCTTGCTTTATAGCTGTGCCACTGCCTACGTTCTGCTGGCCGAAGAGGAAGCAACAACCATCGTAGATGCTGAAAAGTTATTTAAACAGGCGCTCAGGGCGGGGGAGATAATTTATAGACGGTCACAGCAGTGCCAGCACCAGAGTCCTCAGCATGAAGCTCAACTGAGTAAGCAAACTTGAACTGGCTATTATTCCTCTTTTTTTTTTCTTTTGGTTTCTTGAAGTGTTAGCCTCAGATTTGCCATGTAGATGAGGATAACCCAGCACTGATCTTCCCTCCTGTGCTGGGATTATAGTCATGTGCTGCCAGGCCCACATTCTGTCTTTAGCTCCTGAACTTTGTGTTTAAAGCATGAAACAATAATAATAAAAAATATGTAAAAGTTTGATATTTTTCATGAAACAACCAATAGATTCACATATCTGGTCTATTACTTCTAACCCTCATTGTGTTTCCTCTTCAGTCTATGGCTCTGTATGTGGTGCCCAAGGGTGGTTCCTTCCCTTCTCCACTTTACTCTCCTTTCTTCTTTTCTTCCTTTATTCCTCTCTCTTCCCGTTGTTTTTGTTTGGTTGGTTGTTTTGTTTTATTTTGCTTTAAGGCAGGGCCTTGCTATTAGCCCAGGTCGTCTCTGAACTTGGGATCCTTTTTAGGGATTGCTCTTGTGCCACCGTCTGGTTTTCAGTCCGAACTCCAGTCTCGTATGTGACAGTGGTTCTTTTCTGGTTGATTTTTCTCCAGCATGTTTGAGATAGGATGAAACACAGGGACTGTTTTCTTTTGGAGATGCTCTTCTGGTTAGGGTTGCGACACTTACCAAAGCTGTTAGAATCGGCAGTGTTGCTGTTTCTGGCTGAGATTTGTGGCCAGGGGGTTTTAGTTTCATGATTTTGGCAGATACTGGGCAATAAATTGAAATATGTTTACACAAGGCATTATCTCTTAGCAGCAAAGTTCCACATCTTTTGTTTATGGAAATTAAAATTTGGCTAATGTTTTCTCTCAGTTAAATACTTGTGTTTACAATATATTTCATTAAGGCATGTTATTATACAAAACTATGGGAATAGTTAATATTGTAGCCTGGAACTAATGAAACTACATCTATAAAAACCTCTTTCTGTTTCCCCTTGCATAATACCAAATGTGGTTATCTTGTAGAATTTTTAATTTTAAAAATTATACTTATTTGTGTATTTGTATGTGTATATGTGTGCATGCACACATGCATGCCTAGAAGTCAGAAAACAACTTGTGTGTCAGTTTTCTCCTTCTACCATGTGGGTGCCAGGGATTAAACTTAGTCAGCAAGATTGACAAGCAAGCATCTTTTACCTATTGAGCCATCTCACTGGCCCATAATAAAGCTTTCCTCTTAGCGCTTTCTAGTAATAATTTTTTAATTAATTATTAACGTAATAAAAGTTTATATTATTCATGGAATTTTGTTTAGGGCATTTAGGATCTTTGGGCCAAAATAATAGTACTAAAATTATAGATTGTTTATACAGAAACTGAGATAGACAAATATATCTTTCTATTAATATCTTCTTGTTTTCTGCCAGTATTAAACTCATCAACTGAATGAACTATATATACTACATTCAAATTGCTTACTACTAGAGGAAAAAGTAATTAAGTATATATTTTAAGTGCTTAATATTGAAAGCACACATAAAAGTAGAGAACATTTCTTATTTATCACCTAAATTTAATATTCACTAATAAAATAATAATGCTTTCTGGTATAAATTAAATTTAATTTTAATAGGCTTTTCAGGATAAGCAAATAAAATTAGTGGATAATATTTTTTTAGTGGATAATATTTTAATGGAATGTCAGGTCATAATCCAAAAAGTGATAGTTGTATCATTTTCTTATTTTGCTAAATAGGGCGAGATACCAATGTACTTGTATATATAAAAAGAAGATTGGCAATGTGTGCAAGAAAATTGGGAAGAATAAGAGAAGCAGTGAAAATAATGAGAGATGTGAGTAAATTTGATAACAGAACCATTATTTTTATAGTCCCCAAGACTAAAAAAATTATCAGTTATTTTAATGCAGAGTTTTTCAGTTGCCCATTTCTATAACAAGATAGTATATTTTATTTATTTATCTATTTTATTTATTTCTTGAAACAGGGTCTCACCTTGTAGCTCTGGTTGGCCTGGAACTCTCTGTAGACCAGACTGGCCTTAAACTTACAGAGATCCACCTGCCTCTGCCTCCTGAGTAGGATTAAAGATGTGTGCCCCCATGCCCAACAAGGATATTTTTAATGTGCATACATTTCTTAAGGTTTAGGTGTTTATAACTTTGTAAAAAAGCAAAATAATTTATACTTTAACAAACCTGGTTCAGCTCCTCTGAGTTTTCTATCATGATTTGTTTTGATTTTAGTCTTTTTTTTTCCTTCTTTAATATACAGTTGATGAAAGAATTTCCTCCTCTTACCATGTTGAACATCCATGAAAACCTCTTAGAATCACTTCTAGAATTGCAGGCCTATGCAGATGTTCAGGCAGTCCTGGCAAAATATGATGGTGAGTTTGTGTGTGTGTGTGTGTGTGTGTGTGTGTGTGTTAGTAGATAGCATGGTTAGTCTCTTTTCAGCTGTGTAATCGTCAGTGTCTTCCGTTGCCTCTTTCCAGTCTTAGCAGTCAGTTTGGAGGTGGAGGTATAGCTGCTGGGAAGCATCTTCTTTATCTGTCCTTCCTGCTGAGCCAGAAGCCTATAAGAAGGAGCTTCTCCTCTATGAGGACGTGTTCTTTATTACCTGAGTCTGTGTTAGGCACTTAGAATGTGATGGTGGACATGAAAACATGGATTTAACCCTTATGGCTTTGTGGCTTAGTGGCACACAGAGAGATTTGGGCAGTAGTTACACTGAAGATAGCCTATGAAGAGAGGTGACTGTAAAAATATAGGCGTTGTGCACATAGCAGGGTGCTCCATGACTTTGGGCATATAAAGAACACAGTAGACGTTGCATAATAATCTTTATAAGAATAATTCAGAATAAGAGCTTTACAATCATTTTTATTTATATGAAGTAATTTACATAATTTCAGTGATCCCTATAATAAACATATGAAGTGGTAGGACAAGTGTTTTCATTCTTTTCAGGCAGTAAATTAGGAAGCGGGAGTTTAAGAAGGTTAAATATTGGGCAATGTCTTCCAGTGAATGAGTGGCAAACCTGAGCCATAACTCAGCCATTCCATTTCCATGTTTACTAGTCATTTGATAAGAATAGTTCCATGTATTAACTATTTGTATTATTGTAACAATAACAGTTAACTACAAGTGGAGATGGGAAAATGTTAAAAACACAGACTTTTGCCTGGTGGTCGTGATGGTGCACGCCTTTAATTCCTGCACTCAGGAGGCAGTGACAGGCAAATCTCTGAGAGGCCAGCTGTTCTACAGAGCAAGTTCCAGGATGGCCAGGGCCACACAGAGAAACCCTATCTCAAAGAAACAAAAAAACAAAACCACAGACTTTCCCCTCATTCAAAGTAAGACATCCACTCACTTTGCCTCCCTCTTAGATCCTCCTGCCTCTGCCTCTTCTTCCTGAGTCCTGGGGTTAAATGTATATGCCACCATGTCCAGCTAGGATTTTTTAAAATGTGCATACATTTCTTTTTTGTTTCTTTGTTTTTTGTTTTGTTTTTTGAGACAGGGTTTCTCTGTAGCTTTGGTGCCTGTCCCGGAACTAGCTCTTGTAGACCAGGCTGGCCTCGAATTCCCAGAGATCCGCCTTCCTCTGCCTCCCAAGTGCTGGGATTAAAGGCGTGCGCCACCACCACCCGGCTGAGCATACATTTCTTAAGGTTTAGGGCTTCATAAGTTTATTTTTAAAACATCTTACTTTAATAACCCTGGCTCAGCTCTTTCGAGTTTCTCTGTCATTATTTATTCTGATTTTAGTCTTTCCCCTTTTATATACAGTTGATAAAAGTCCATGCAGCAAATCTCCCAGCCTCATTAGAACCGAACGTGGAAGCCACTCACCTTTGTCTTGTCAGAGGTTCCTCCCACTAGTTTAGGAATCCCCACAACTTGGGAAAGTTGAAGTGTGATACATTTGGAAGGTGAAATTGCCTTCTTTTATACATCTGGAATTTTTAGGCAGATCTTCTCAATAGTTTAGACTCAAAGGAAAATTTGTGAGCAACCCATTCCATATGTAACCTACTGGGTACATAGCCTGTTGTGATATTTGTGATGTGCAAGCTTAGGAACTGAATATCCAAAGTCAGAAGGGGACCTGATTTGTTTAGAATAAAGGAAAACCCACTAAATTGATAGGGCCTGCATTATTTGGTATGCTCTGTGGGTTACTGTTTACACGGCTCACTGTACATCACTGTGCAGACCCACAGTCACTGGAAACCAGCTTTCTCCCTGAGATCTCCACCACTGTGTAGTCTCGAGCTCAGAGTGTCATGCAAGCGTGCCACTCTCTTCTAAGACCACTGTTTTCTGAAAAAGGATTTATATTTTTTTATGATCTCAAGTTAACTTCATACTTGATGTTAACACATCAAGTTACTTAATGTGGTTCTTTAAGAAAATGTAGGAAAACTAAAAACTTAGGGAAAAAGTTAAAATTAACCCAGATATAATAGCAGTTAAGTATTTTAATTTTTTCAAATCTTAGTTTTTACATTTAATTATACTGTGGATTTCTTCTGACTAGTCTTATTGTAAACAGATTATTATCGATGTTTGTAGAATATATGTTGTCATCATATAGAGGACTTATGTCAACATAGTTTAATTTCTACTAAGAGGTATGGAAAGAGGTCTAGGCTGGGTTGCACCCAGGAGGTAGAGGCAGGCAGATCTTTGTGAGTTTGAGGCCAGTTTGGTCTACAAGAAACTACACTGGGAAACCCCATCTCGAAAAACCATAAAAAATAAAAATTAAAAAAAAAAGTGAGAGAGAGGGAGAGAGAAAGAGAGATCAATAAAGTTACTACTAGCCCAGGGATATGCAAACTAGTAAATAGTAAAATCTAGAATCAAACTTAGGTCTTCCAACAATGTGTCCAGATGCCTATGTCACTGTATTGCAGCTGATGAATTTGTACTATGAGTTATCATTTTTAATCCCTACCTAAGTTGACAATATTGTTACAGATATAAGCCTTCCAAAGTCGGCAGCCATCTGCTACACAGCAGCACTGTTGAAAACAAGGACTGTTTCAGATAAGTAAGTACTTTTGAAACCACAATCATTTGGAAAGACTGCTAAACATTTAATAAGGGTTTTTCCTCTACTGACTTTTAAACAATGCGCTTTCTCCTCTCTATTTCCTCCTGAATAACCCTTACTCTTTTGTGACTGAGGTTTCTCTCTGCATGTGGTTTGATGACAGAGCTATTTAGAGTTAAGTAAGCTGGTACTCAAATTCAAACTACCACACAGTAGATGTAGCTGGGCAAGTTGTTACTTTGAGAGTAATATGGCTGAGGGGTGGCTGGAGAAATGGCTCAGCAGTTAAGAGCACTGACTGCTCTTTAGAAGACCTGGGTTCAATTCCCAGCACCCATATGGCGCTCATGAAGATTTGTGATTCCAGTTCCAGGGAACCCAACACACAGACACACATTCAGGCAAAATACAAATGCACATGGAAATAAAATTATAAAAAAGGAAATAATATTGTAGGGTGGTTGAATGAGGGTGATATGTGTCAAGTTACTACAGCAGGTTCAGGAAGAGCCCACAGAGAACTGAGTGTGAAGCTTATAACCGCAGCACCAGCCTTTGGAAGGAGGAGCAGGAGTCAAAGCTAGCCTTGGCTACGTAACAAGCTAAAGGCCATCCTGGTGTATGTATGTCTCAAAAAAAAAAGTACACCTTTAATGTGGTAACAGTGATTCTGTTAACAACAAGGTACAGGTAGATGAGCTGGCTTCATCTTACCCTTTCACTGAAGTTACTCTCCCTTCCTTACACCTTTGGCTCTCCTTAGTTCTCCTTATTTGGCAGTTGAGATATTCAAAATCTGGACAGGTCCAGTGATGAGACCCTATCTCAATAAAAAAATTATTATTTAATTGAGAGTCAGAGACCAACCAAATGGTGCTCATCAAGAGTAGTATAACTTGATATAAATTGGAATAAAATATTTGAAGTTTCTTGTCACCTAAAAATTTTATAAAAGTCTGGATTGTGTTTTCTAGATTTTCTGAGTTCCTCAGTGGCATTTCTTACTGTAGCCATGCTTCTCAGAGTGGGCTCAATGAACCTCTCCAAAGGCTCTCTGACTTCAGGCTGCGATTTTCATTCCTTCTGTGGCCTGGTGCACACTGTTGAGCCAGAGGCTTTACTTTCATTTTTATTGGTTGTATGGTTTTGCCTTTGGGTCATTGCCAGAAACATCTTTGATTTGAGGAATATATTGTAATCTGAATCCATGTTTATCATTCCCAATAGACTTTGTACATGTAGTTTGTTCATTTCTTCGTCCTGTGGTTTTCTTTACAGATTCTCTCCAGAAACAGCATCCAGAAGAGGGTTAAGCACAGCAGAAATTAATGCTGTGGAAGCAATTCATAGAGCTGTGGAGTTTAATCCACATGTTCCCAAAGTAAGAAATTTTATAACAAAAATACTACTTTTATTTAAATTTAACAAATTTATGACAATAGACCAAAGTGTATGGTTTGTCATACATTAGATCAGAATTGTTTAGTCTGCTCTATTTGCCTTCATCTTGAAAGGGATACTAATAAGGCATTTAGAAACAGTTCGAGGTCAGGGATGTAGTTCTGTTAGCAGTGCTTATGTTGCATACATGAAGCCCTGACTTTAATATGTAGTACTGCAGAAACCAAGCCTGGAGGTGGCTCATACTTGGAATCCTAGAATTTGGAATGTCGAGGCAAAAGGATCAGGTCTCTTTCTCTCTCTCTCTCTCTCTCTCTCTCCCTCTCCCTCTCCCTCTCCCTCTCTCTCTCTCTACTATACAGTTATACAGTGACTTTTAGGCCAGCCTAGAATACATTAGTCCCTGGTTTTTTTGTTTGTTTGTTTGTTTTTTTTTAAAAAAGGAACCTGCTTAGAAGCAATTAGTTCCCTAAGGGCTTTGTAATTGCTGGCTGAATAAAACCTGAGTTGTGTTTACTTAACTTCCTCTTCCTCAATATTGGTGATGAATGCAGTTGCATTCCAGACCTACTTTATTATAGTTATAGAGAAGAAACAGTTAAGTGACTTGATTGCTATAGATCATTTATATTTCAGATCACAGAATTAATTTTCCTGTATTGTCAAAGGCTGTTCTAGATGCATGACTGGGTTTTGAACTAGGACTGAGTAGACAAAAACTGAAATCTGGGAAATTAACCAATAAGAAGTTATAGCAGATAGAGAAACTGCTAAGTTGATGTCTGTTGGAACTCAGATCAATTGACCTACTCTATTTGTCTTTATATTGTACATCTTACATTTATACAAATTATTGGCTAATCTATGTAATAGTATCCAAATACCAAAACACTCAAACCCAAGATTAAAATTTGGATTTTATAAACAATTTCCCATGTTACAGACTATCCAGGAATAAATTCCCTTACTACTGTATGAAATTATAGCTGTGATTCGGTGTATAAGTGTTAGTAGAAGTTAACCCCAGGGCCTGCAAGTTGGCCAGCTTAGTAAGTCTCCTGCTGCTAAGCCCGATGGCTGGAGTTCATTCACCAGAACCCTCATGGGAAAAGGAGAGAAGCAACTCCTGCAAGATGTCCTCTGATCGCAACATAAATAATGTGTCACATGTGATTGTACATACACAAATACAGTAAATAATGTCAGAAAAAAGACATTAACCCCTAAAAGAAAGTCTTCAAGAAGTTTTAAACCTTTTAGAATAAATAAAGATATGATAAAGTAAGTTAATGACTTGAACTTAGTAGAACATGCCTGTAATTCTTGTACTGCAGAGGCTGAGGCAGGAGGATTAAGAGTTTGAGGGCTACGTATTGAGACCCTGTCTCTCTCTTTTTTTTTTAAAGATTTATTCATTTATTATGTATACAACATTCTGCCTCCCTGTATGCCCACACGCCAGAGGAGGGCACCAGATCTCATTAATGATGGTTGTGAGCCACCATGTGGTTGCTGGGAATTGAACTCAGGACCTCTGGAAGAGCAGGTGGTGCTCTTAACCTCTGAGCCATCTCTCCAGCCCGAGACCCTGTCTCAAAAAAAAGAAAGAAAGAAAAAAAAGGAATGACTAGAATGACTAACATCGGACTGAGTAGTTGTGTTTTCCTGGCCTGTGTGAGCTCCTGGGTTTGTTCGCGAGAATGCGTAAGAGGGAGAAAGCAGCACCCACTACCGAAATCTAAGAATAATAGTCTATAGACATACAAGTTTCTTGTTAACTGACACTGGGTCCGTGAATTTAAAATTTTATTACAAGCTATAATATACATACAGCAAAGAATACAGAACAGAAACATGCACTGTAATGGTTTAACATAAAGCAGACACTTGCCTGTCAGGTAAAAAGCAGGGCAGTACCACCCCCCGGATGTCCACTTGACTGCCCTTTTCCAGGCACAGCGCCTCCCTTCCCAGAGTAATGCGAGAGCAATAACGGCTTTAACATTAATTATGCTTACTTCCTCCTTTCTTTAGTACTCATTCTGTATTTTCTTTTATTGCTGGTGTTATAAATGAATTAAGGTCAGTTCTACCCTCCATTCTCTCTACTCCAATTCTTCTCTGATTCCTCTCAATTTTATAGGGGTTCTTACTGGCCTTATTTTTATTTATTTATTTTTTAAAGATTTATTTATTTATTATGTATACAACATTCCTGCAATGTATGTTTGTATGCCAGAAGAGGGCGCCAGATCTCATTATAGATGGTTGTGAGCCACCATGTGGTTGCTGGGAATTGAACTCAGGACCTCTGGAAGAGCAATCAGTGCTCTTAACCTCTGAGCCATCTCTCCAGCCCCCCTGGCCTTATTTTTAAACCACATAGTTCACTTAGTGCTGCCAGCATGTACCCAGGTGTAGAACCATGTACTAGAATATGAGTAAGCTCTTTGGGCTACATCCTGAACAAAAGTACACTCTCCCTCTCCCCTCTCCCAGCAGCAGTGGTCAATAGCGCCTCAGCTAGAGGTGGGCTGCCCACCCACTGCCTACTGGAATTTGGTCTCCTTGCACAGTTACTGACTCCGTCTGTGTAGCTGCCCTGTTGTGTTAGATTACATCGCTTTGTTGTGGTCAGCCATCTCCTCTGGCTTGTCCTCTCTTTCTGCTTGTGTAATGATCCATGAGCCTTGAGAGGGGACATGTGATATAAATGTCCCATTTAGGGCTGGACATTCTGCATAGACTCTTTATTTTTTATTCTGTGGGATAATTTATATATAATTATAATCATTTCTGCTTTAAATGATTTATAGATCTTCCTGATAAGGCTATCTGATCTGGAGTTTTCTTTTTAAGAAACTACGAACTATGAATTTCCATCCTTTAGTTTAATAATCACAATTGTTACTTACTTTATAATTGCAAATGCTATTATTGTTGTGACAGAGCCTCATTGTAGCCTAAGCTGGTCTCATTATTTAGCTGAGAATGATTTTGAACTCCTAATCCTCCTGCCTCCATCTCCCAAATGCTGTGATTACAGTCTATGCCCTCATGTCCGGCTTAATGTGTTTTTTCTTTCTCTTGCATCATGGTTTCTTTTATAATTAATTTTTTTTGGTCTACACACCAGATACTTTGTTTGAAAAGTTGTGAAATTAGGTTGAAATTTTGGATACTATGTTCTTCCAGAAAATACTGTTTCACTCTTAGATGACTGCAAGAAGCACTAGTAAGTCAATATTACTTTAATCACTTTATGTTTAAGGGATTGCTATTTTCTGGACCACCCAGATGACTTAAAGCTACTTCTGGTTCACCCTTATACCTGGGATTCAGCCATTCAGGGCCCCATCTAATCCTTAGTTTTAGAAGCACTTGCACTATTGACAAGCACTGCCACCTCTGTCCCTAGCTTTATAAAACTGACAAAATGTTGAATGGCTTCTTATCCATCTCGTTCAGTTGTAAGATCCTCCACATAAAGAAAACTTAACTGTGGCTCACTTGGCTGACTTTCTGTCTTTGGACTGTGGTCTGGTAATTCTTCATGCTTTGTTAATCCTTGTATATTTACTTTTACTAGTTTCTAATTTTTCTAGGAAGGTTGATCAGAATCATTACTGGAAATACAAGTCTATAAATATTTTTAAATAAAACCCTCTGGTCTCGGGGGCTGGAGAGATGACTCAGAGGTTAAGAGCACTAGCCGCTCTTCTAGATGTCCTGAGTTCAATTCCCAGCAACCACATGGTGTCTCATAACCATCTGTAATGAGATCAGATGCCTTCTTCTGGTGTGCAGATGTACATGCAGATAGAGTACTCATATACATAAAATAAATAAGTAAATCTTAGAAAGCAAACGAAAACCCCTCCACTCTCATGCTACAGAGGAGTTAAGAGAATGGATTCTACAACCAAACTCCTGGAGTTTGAATTCCAGCTACACTCTCTCCTAGCTATATGGTTTTAGATGAATTACTTCCCTTTGCTTGTGCTTCAGTTTCCTTGTGCATGCATGCAAGTGTGTGTGTGCGTGTATGCATGCAAGTGTGTGTGTGTGTGTGTGTGTGTGTGTGTGTGTTGAGACCAGGTCTCATGCAGCCCATGCTGGCCACTACAGCCTGACGGTTTATTTTACATGCATTGTGGGGCTCATATATAGGTTCTGTGCTTATAGGGCAAGTGCTTTACCAACTGAGATATCTTCCCAGCTTTGTATAGAAAGTTTTAAACTTAGTTCCACAGTTGAGGATAAATGTAGTATTTGTCTTTCTGAGTCTGGCTTATTTTATTTAACATAATGACCAGTTGCCCCCTTTTCTGCATATGCCACGATTTCTTTTTCCTTTATGTCTGTATAAATTCCATTGTATACATGTGCTGCCCTTTCTTTATCTGTCTGTGTATTGATAAATATCTAGGCTGCTTCTCTTTCCTGGGTGTTGCAAATAGTGCAGTGGATCTATCTGCAAGTGTCTCCGTTGTTGACTTAGAGTCATTTGGGTGTCTATCCAAGAATAGCACATCTGGGTCAGATGGTAGTTCTGTTTCAGTTTTTGAGGAACCCCTATACTGATTTCAGTAGTAGCTAGTTATGTGTATAATCCCACCAGCAGTTTATAAGGAAAGTTCCTCTTCCTTCACGGTCTCACCAGCATTTTCTGTAATAGGTCTTCTTAATGATAACAATTCAAACTGGGACGAGGTGGAATCTGAATGCAGATTTAATTTCCATTTCCCTGATGACTAAAGATATTGAATGCTCTTTCAAATATTTATTGTTCATTTCCTTAAAAACTTTCTACTTAGTTCATTAGTCCATTTGTTTTATTAAGTTCAATTTTATGTAATATGTAGCCAAGTAGAAACTTTTTATGTGTTATATAATATAATTTGCAATTATATTTTAGGTAGCTCATTTATTGATAGGGTGATTTGTGGAGTTTGAGGTATTTAAATTTTGTAGTTCTTT